TTGGTGACCTGGTCATAAAAGGTCACCAGGTTGGTCTGACAAGATCTGCCCCTAATGAACACAGACTATATCATAGTCTGGCTGGTAAGTCTGTTGTAAGTGAAGGGGTATGGGGGACGGGCAGATTGAGGTCCCTGTGGTGAGAGAGGGAGTGGGGCAGGGCAGGGGCAGGCACAGGCACTGCGCAGCTGGGCAGGGTGTGGGATAGAGCCGCATGTGGCTCACCTGGGGGGATTAGGGGGTGGCTCCCACCACTGCACACACCCCAGAAGGGCATGGGGGGGCATGTGCCCCAGATCTGCACATGGGGTGAGGGCAGGCTGCCGCTATGGGCTGGGGCTGGAGTGGTGCCAGGCTCTTCCTGGCAAGGGGTTTGGGCTGGGGATGCACTCAGGGTGGGTGGCAGTGGAACTGGGAGGGAGCTATTGGGTGGGGGCTGCAGCCACCCCAAAATATGGTGTAGCCCCCACTCCCAGCACCACTGCCACCAGTCCTGAGTGCAGCCCAGCCCAACCACCCACCAAAAAGAGCCTGGCACCATCCCAGTCCCAGTCTGCAGGAGCAGCCCACCTTTGCCCTGCATACATATCCAGGGGCACATGCCCCCCATGCTCTCCCAGGGTATCTGCATCAGTAGGAGCTCCCTCCCCCCCCCGTGACCCCTGGACAAGTTGCTCAGGGCTCCACCCCACCTGTGCAGCACCTGCCCCTGTCCCAGCTCCACTCCCTCCCTCACCGCAGGGGCCTCAATCTGACCCCCTCAGACCCCTTCCCTCACAACAGACTTTCCAGCCAGACCCAGCTGCTCTCCATGCTGCCGGACTGTGTTCCTGGCCACCTGCATGCTGTGTTGCGGCTATGTGCATGCACGGGGCATTTATCGTCTACATTATCAGCCACATCAGCCAAAAAAAGCCAACTGCTGATACAGTCAATTTTTCTTTTATCAGTGCAACTCTAGTAATTTTTTCTCATTCATTCTGCATACCCCCTATGACCTTTTTAAGTACCCCTAGGGGTACATGAACCCCCAGTTAACAACCACTGGTTTAAGCATTTGTTATTTTTGTAGCTAATTCTATGGAATTAAGATATTGGGGAAAGATTTGAGTGAAGTGAATGTGGAGTCTGAACAAACAGATTCTGAAGAGCTTATTCGTGCACAGAGAACTACAGGGGAGAAGGCTTTATCTCTATAAGTTGGGAATTCCTTGATCAATGAACCCAGATTTTCACCACTATCCCTTTCCTGAGCCCCAGTAATGCATGCTTAGATTGTCATGAGAATCACTGCGCATCTAGTTTTGAAAATGCTTTGAAAAACTGACTCTTAAACACAAAGTTCTTGGAGATCTAGACAGTGCCATAAAAGATATGACAAAGAAAGAAAACATGGTTAGAACAAATAATGAGGAACATATTGCAGATTAACCCTATAAATTCTACTACTCAGCAAAGAGAGACAGGATTAGACAGCGAAGGAGTGGAAGGTCCCAGTGAGGCAAAGTCTGAAGGAAATATCTTTGAGAAGGAAGAGGAAGATGTACTAAAAGAAAGGACATTGTTTCAGGGGTCAAAATCACCTTGACAGACGATATGAAAAAGGCAGTGGGATGAATGGACAGAGGGCGTAACAAGATGTGGGATATAACCAGAGTTTGAGGTAGGAAATGACAGGAGATATAATCAGGAACAGATCTTTGCAGAGTTTTCAAAGAGGGTTAAGCATATATTACAGTTGTTGGAATGTATTTGCCTTCAGAGTAAAAGCTCTACTGACTTTTGTGTTTGTTCTATATTTAGCTCTGATACCTGCGTGCTCCCCAGCTTGCCATCCCCAGGCTGTCTGCAAACTCAACAATGTCTGTGAATGCAGCCTACATTATGAAGGGGATGGAAGAACTTGCACAGGTATGGCTGAAACAGTAAACATATGACACAAGAGGATTCACTGGCTTCTGCCCTGACATGTTGGAGCTGGGTAGTCTCTAATTTTCTAACAAAAGTAAAAAGATTTCAGGTGGATTAAGACAAAATTGAGTTTAAAAAGACAAAGTTAAAAGTGGTAAATTATAACTCTGGGCTCCAGAGATCTGATCATCCTTGGGTATGTCTACATATGATGCTATGTCACATAGCAATGCGCTATGTCAACATAGCATCCACAGGGGTCTACATGTGACCAGCAACTACTTTAGCACTGTAGCAACGTGCTCCCCCATTATAGCACACCACTATGGTAAAGTAGCTCCTAAATGTGCAGCATGCACAGCTGTGCACCGTTAATCACGTAATCACTGTAAATCACATAAATCACAGTGCAGTAACAACAACATCATAGCGACACATGTAGACGTGCCCCTGGTATAAGAGGACAATTCTTTCTCCTTTGAGTAATTGTCCACATACACTTTCTCACTGGTGTCTGTCCTTTATGCCCTGAACTTCAGCCAGAGCAGTTTTTGCCTTAGTAGTATCCACAGAGTGTTTTGTTTGTGCCCCTGCACTGAGCGATAAAGGATGATTCAAGCTTCCAGCTCCACAGGTCCTCCCAACCTGCTTGGCTAGACAGAGAACATTCCTTCAGGGTTCCTGACGATCTTTGACACTCAGAAATAATCCAAAATTCTTGTTTAAAGTATTCATTCAGCTCATGATGTAATCAGGGGAGGCACCTTTACTCCAGATCTACTCAGTCTCTGGGCTTCAAGCTATGTCCCTCCTGTGATGGCCTTGAGATTGACCATAAAAGGTGTCTGTACTGCCTGGGGGAGACCCACATCCTTGACTGTTTTTTTATCTGTTGAACATTCAAGGTGCAGATGAGAAAGGGCAGGAAGAATAAGCTTCAGCTCTTTCTCCAGGATAAATCCTTTGGCTCTGCCTCAGATCCAGGGTCATAGAATCCATAGTCATGAGGTGGGAAGGGACCTCAAGAGTCGTCTAGTCCAACACCTGCACAAAGGCAGGCTGTGCTTATTCCCAGAAAAAAGCAATTAGCATCTTCTTGAAAAACCTTCTGTAAAAAAAGAGATTCCATAACTTCCTTAGGCAGCTTTTTCCATTATCCTTCTTTTCTGTTTTATTACTCTTCTTTTTACAAAGTTTTGTCGAAGATTTACTTGAAATTTGCTTTGCTGCAATTTAAACTCTCTGCTTCATGTCCTGTTGTCTGTGGCAAGAGAGAACACTTCTCCCTCTTCTCCATAGCAGCCTTTCAAATATTTGAAAATTGCTGTCATATCCCCACTTAATCTCCTTTTCTTCAAACTAAACATACAGAGTTCTCTCAACTTTCCCTTCCTTTGTTGGCATTCTGACTCCTTTATCAACTTCATTATTTACTTTTGGATCTTCTCCAGTTTCTCTACATCCCCAAAATGCAGAACTTCACACAGCTATAGCCTAGCCATCCTCAGCATAGCACCATAGTCCTCTAGCACTGGGAGCCATAGTGAAACAGTATCCTCAACACCAACAGTATCACCACCTATACACCCATGCTGATCCAGGTCTAAAAGCAGACAGCATGTCAGAAACAAGCCTAAGAAACTCTCATCATCATGGTCATCACAGTACTGAAAGAGGTGATCCCTTCAACTCAGGAAGAGTCTGCATGAGGAGGAAAAGACCTCTGAGACCTTTCAGCCTATATGGGTGACAGGAGAGGATCTTGAGGAACTATGACTTTAGCTCAGCACTTGGCCCCAAGATTTCTTGGCCCTGCGCGGTTTCTGTGGAAGCCCAGGGAGGCCCAGACCATGACGTAAACACTACCCAGCACTTAGAATACAGCTTAGAATATAGAAGTGAGGAAACACCTCCATGGAGCCACTCAGGGGTCATGATTTCTAAATCCCCAGTTAACCAAGGGTTTATGACATCGCCATACTTGTCTGCAAGGATTCAACTTAGACAGCGAATAAATGGCTCCATCCACACAGTACTCAGTGCCATTCTCCAGCAAAGTACTCCATATCTGTAACCATGAACTACTTCATGGACCTTTAATGGACCTCTCAGCCCTAAAAGGCTCTCTGCCACTGGACCCTACACTGATGGCTCTGGTGGTACCATCTCTATGCCATCTGGCATGGGTTTTCTTATCTTTAGAACAAGCTATGTCTTCCTAATCTGAAGGCCAGTCAAGATCCTCCTTAAACACTGGATTACCAGTTTCTCCAGGCACTACAAACTGTGGACAGTCACCGAGGCAATGGTGCCATGTAGACTGGCTAACAGACCCCAGTACCTCAAAGCAGTGGCCTACAGCAGTGGCCTACAATGGCTGTCCAGCTTCTAAGTGGATATGGACTACACCAGTGGGGGCCTCACAGGGCCACACCAACATAAGCCATGGGCCACACACTGCATAGCCCCCCACCCCCCATGGACCACATGCACAGGCCCACGCCAGCCCCCAGCCCCAGTCCCCAGCCCTGTCCCTGTCCCCCTCTCGGTCCCCATCCCCACCTCACCTTGGGGAGGAGCCACAGCCTGCCCTGCATGAGGAGTGAGGAGCTTACCTTCAGTAAGTGTCCCACGCCGGCCCTGGTGCCTCCGCCGCACTCCGCACCCAGCAACTTTCCAGGTGGGTGCACGGCCTTAGAAAGTTTGTGCGCGGCAAGATTTTTACTTGTGCGCAGTCGTGCACACACATAATTTATAGGGAATGCTACCTCCAACTCAGGCTGGACAAACCCCAACCTGCAGCTTCTCCCCCTCCCTAATCCCTCCCTCCCTTCCTGCAGACCATTTGCCTCCTGTATTCATTTCCCTTTTCCTTGAAGTTAGAGGCAGCATAGGACTCTGCAGTTAGAGGAACTGAGGATTAGGAAACATACATAATTCTTTCTCTTCTTGATACCAGAAGAAGTGGGGTGACAGCGTACTTTCTGAATACTACTAAGGCAAAAAAGTTTCTAGTCAAAGCACACAGCATCAGACAAACCCACCTGTGAGAATAAGTATGTGGGTAACACATCTCAAAGAATGACAGTTTCTGATATATACATGTGTTTTCTTCGGAGACGTCATAGTTGCAATTTGTTTGCCAACTGTTCTTTTTAATCATCCAAACACTTGTGGAATGACAGAGATTCTTTATATTTTAAATGGGATGATGTAATACATGCAGTCATTCATTCATTTAGACTGGTCAGCCACAGACAGGCATCACATTTGTGATGAGAAATATGAACAGTGAGCATACAGGTGTTCAAGTGGCTTTTCACAGAAAAACAAGGTGGTTCCCCAAAGAATAGCTCTTTCCAGCAGCAGCTTGTCAGCAATGCAACAGTTTCCAGCACCATGCATAATGCCTATCTAGTTACATGGCTTGCATGGGGCATGCCTTAGTTCTCCATCATCCCAAAAGGTCATGCTCCTCACACACGTGCATCCCTCACATGGTTCCAGGGGACTCTTTTTTGTCTCGTACAAAAACCTACTGCCCCACAGAGGCAGAGCTAGGCTTACAGATTGCCTTGTGATCTCACTGCTCTGAACTGCTCAGCCAATCTTTCTTTGTGGACAAAATAAAGTCCTTCCTGCTGAACAAACAGGGCCTCCTCCCAGACCCTACTGCCATGACAAAAATACCTATTTCTGCCAAGTCACTTCTGGCATTATCTCGAAGCCAGGCTACAAGAAGGGAAGGAAGCAGCTTTTGTCAGGTTTTGATCCAGGAACCATTTTGTGAGGTGAAGCATATATGCTAGCTGCTATGGAAACAGACAAGTCACTACAGAAAACAAGGGTAGCAAGCAGGGGGCTGTTTCTGCCTGATTGGAGCCCTGTGGGGCAGTTGTACATCTGGGAATTGTTGAGTGTGTCTACACATGCCATTGATGCACAGTGTTAGACCCCAACTGCACGCAGAGCCCAACAACTAGGGAGATGATGATCCAATTGCTCAGAGAGCAAACACCAGCACACATTCCTAGCAACAGCTTTATTCATAATGGAGACAGCTTCAGACTAGCTCCCAGAAAAACAGGGAGCCGCAGTGAACATTAGTTTTTTTCCATACGTATATACCTTGGTTTATACTTATTAACAGTTACCCCACCCTTGTCTCTCCTTTGTTCCACCCTTAGTCTGCCTCTGTTTACTGTTTGTTTCATTAACATGGAATTACTTATGCTTTTCACTTATTTACAAGTCTTTTTGCTATTTGCACATGCCTAAGACCTTGACTCCACTTCTTCGGTCACTGGGCAAACTTCAGCCAAAACCTGGAAGCTTCTGGAGGCCTTTTCACCATCACCATTCACCTTTTCGCATATGTTTATCTTGGATTCTGTTACCAGTTATGTGTTGTCTTTCACATTCCAGTCTGTTTTTCAGTCCCATATTGTACCATCTCCACATTCCTAAGACTTCACCTCATTCGCAGCACACAGACTTACATAGACTCACTTGAAAATGGTTGACACAGTTAAGATGGTTACTTAGCATAAGCAAATAAATGGCTTATCATAAGCATTCATAAGCAAAATCTGCTCTATCTCCTGATGATAGCCGGTGGTTTGCATCCTGTTTCTTTTGCACAGTGAGCTATATATCTTACAACACTACGACATCGTTAGGAAAATGCTTGCCTAAGCATCTTGCAATGTTACTTTTAATATATCATTCTGCCTTGTGGTTAGCAGCTTTGCTAGGCCACAGATTACAGCCTTTTATTCAGCTGCAAATTCAGTGCTCCCCAAGATCCAGATACTGTCACCCTAACACACAGCAATAAACTACAGAGCTTATTGCTCCCAGGAAGCTCCTGGGCATGTGATTTACACATGTGTCTGGACCACAGCACATTGATCTGGGTCACAGCAGCCCTGGCTAGCAGGTGGTCTAGGGCAGGGGTGGGCAAAGTATGGCCTGCAAGCTGGTTCCAGCCCACCAGGCCTTTCTATCCTGCTCACAGGGCCCCTAAAACATTTAGAAAATTCATATTTACCTGCCCCTGGCTGCCTGTCAAAGATGACAGGAGGCAGGGGCAATAGGACACAGGGGAAGCCACAGCAGGCTTATACAACAGCAAGGCCTACCTGCCCCTCCCCCTCTTCCCCCCCAGCTGGAAACTCCTGCCTAGCAGGGACTGGGGCTGTTCATGCCTCCCTGCGCTGAAGTGGGAAATTCAGGTAAGAGCACTGGGGCAGGGAGACAGGGAAGGACTGCAGGTGATTGTCCTAGTCCTCGGGGCTGGGCCAGCTCTTGCTGAGTCCCATGGTCCATGGTACATGCCACAAGCAGTGGTGAAGGAGCCACACTGCAGCCTAGCATAGCACAGGCTCTGGGTGGCTGCAGCAAGCACTGCCTGGTGACAGCAAGGCGAGGGGCGCTTTACTTCCATGCTTGAGCAACAGTTTGTCCTGCACTGACACTGCTCAGGCCAGATGGGCGAGCATGGGGCACACAGGGTCAGGGCTTCATGCGCTCATCCCTGCCTGTATCGTTGGGGCTGGGGTGGGGGGGACTGGGAGTGAGCAGGTACGCAAGAGCCAATAACAGCTGGACAAGAGCACAGGGCCTGTGCCAATGTCCCAGGGCCAGTGCTGGCAGGGCCCAGAGCAGGGCAGCAGGGGCTCTGTGGAGCCAGGGCAGCTCCCCTCTCTCCATGCTGGTGCAGTCCAGCCCAGTCCCATAGACCCCTGCCAGCCCACACCCTGCACTCCTGCCACCCTGTTCTGGGCCCCACTGGTGCTGGCCCTGGGACACCAGTGCAAGCCCTGCTCTTCTACACGCCTGCTTGTTTCCACTCCCCCCTCACCCCTGCCCCTGCTGTTGCTTTCCCTATTTTCCTGCCCACCTGCCAGCCACTCTGCACCATGTGGTTCCCATCCCCACATCCATACCCCCAATAACATACCCACATACATGCATCCCCACAAACCCCCATACCCACTCCCCCAAAGCTCCCCACAAACCCCACACCCAGCCACCCATTCCCCCCGACACCCCTGCACACCCTACACAATATATAGGTAAGACTGCATTTTGAGCTATTATGCAATCACTTCTACATATACAGCACAAATGCACACAAATCAGGACAAAAATATTTTAATTAAAATATATTATTATGAGTGTTTGATTTTTAGTATATAATTTGTTTTTTTCCCCCTAAAATGGCAAATTCTGTTCCCCAAAGGGGTACTTCTAGGGGTAAGGGGAGGGACTTGCCCACCCCTGGTCTAGGGGGTCAGCCTGCCAGCCCAGGGCTGCTGTGATCAGGCTCAGTGTGCTGTGGAGAGGCTGGCTGGGGCACAAGGGTGCTTCAGTATGCAGCTAGCCGGCAGGCAGCTCCTGCACTGAAGCACTCTTATGCCCATTAGCCAGGGCAGAATTTACGCATGCGCTGCTAAGCACAAGAAAACTCCACAGCAGTGTAGAATTTATTTGTTTTGTGTACACATGTAGACGCTAAGATGTTTATTAATAAGTCAGCTCTAGATGTGCCCAGTATGTTCTTGCTGTGGGGACTGTGTACTGTAATTTGTAAAGGCCATGGCTAAGGCAGAGGAGTGTCCCAGTAGTCCTGTCCCCCCACCTCCACCACAGTAGAGTGCTGGAGCCCTCCCCTTGCTCCCAGTCACCTGCAGGTTGAAGAGGCAAGGGAATAACAGTGCCAGCACCTGCTGGCTAGCAGAGACATCTCTCACATTGCCTCTCCCAATGGAGATTCTGAGACTATGCAGCCAAGGACTCAGTCATGTATGTGGAAATTTCTGGAGACGGGGGCCCTCACAAAGCATGCTGGGATTACAGCACACTGGCCCCCTTGCTGCTGAGTGCCAGCAGAACAGGCTCTTGCCCTGCCTTGAAGTGCTCCAGACAACCAAACATTTGAACACCTGCCTATGCACTTCCATGCTTTTGTAAAGCCACAAGTTCATCAGAAATTCTTAGCACCATGAATGTCTGTCCATGGCCTAAATTTCTCAAAATTGCCTAAGATAGTATGATCTTCAATTTCCTCTCTGCTTTAATTTACATTGTTTCAATTTTAAACTACAGTGAATGCCATTAATAAATAACACCAGGGACCTGTAAAAACTTTAGTACAATATGCCCTGCAGTTAACAGGTTCCAAATTTACTGTAAGATATTTATGTTGTACCACAGTAAATAGGTAGCCTTAATTACACCCGATGTTGTGATTTTTGTTATTATGTAATTACAGTTTAGGATTTTTTTTTTTTAAAAGAGAGAGAATTTGTGGAGAACCTAATGCATGCAGGACCCTTCTGAAGTCAAGCTTAAGATCTGATCCTGATTAATAATGGCTCCAGAATTTGGGCACTTATAAAGTACTTTAAATTAAAGGGCTAAAAATGTCTTTCTTGCCGTAGTCATTGACCAGTGCCAAGTTGACAATGGAGGATGCAGTGAGAATGCTAACTGCACTCAGATTGGAGTTGATGTCTCCTGCACTTGCTTACCTGACTACCAAGGAGATGGCTATGTCTGCAGCCCTATAGACAAATGTGCAGATGGCAGGAATGGCGGCTGCAGTGAGCATGCCTTGTGCATCAGTACAGGGCCAGTAAGTATATCATAAGCTTCAAAGAACTGCTGACTTGGCTGTGCACATTTGTAGGAAAATGCACAAGAAGTGCCAGCACAGTGCATTGCCAACAATTAATTGACACCCATGAACACAATTTCTAGTTGTTACTACCTAGCCTTTCAGCACCACCAGTTCTCCAGTGCTGCAGAGCACCACTCTCATGTCTCTGTGCACCGTAATTGGAAGGTTTGAGACATCTGACTCCCTATTAAAGGGAACAGCCTTTTTTGTCTGTGTCACATTTCGGCATAACATCAGGTGATCTCTGCTTATAGAAAACTGCATCTCCTAAGAGTGCAGGGAACACTGAAACAGTTACCTGAGTAATCTGTCCTGCTGGAAGAACCTCTTGTGTGATATGAGCTAATCCTGCTTCTGCCTCTGCAGCAGTGGACTCTGTCTTGCCAAAGAACCAGAGTTTTCCTCCATAGCGAAGGGAAGATTGAGAGATCTCATTAATGTATTGTAACCTCTGTGCCATGATTCTATTTCCAAACATGTAGCAGTAGTAGTGGTTTTAGCTTTTCTTGTTACTTGTGGGTCATGCACTGCACAGCTCAAATATTCAGGCTAGCCAACAGGGAATGAGAATGTCCCCTCACTGTGTAGGGCACTGTATTTGGAACATATTCCATTTGGTCACTTTTAAAATGGCTTATCCTGCTGCATCAATAAGTACAGAGATTATTGTACAGAAGTTACACTTCATTGGCTTTGTGAATTGTTCAGTCTCTGTGTCCTGTCACATTCAAGCCCAGCCCAGGAGCTCAGGGTAGTTGATAGTCCTTATTGCTGAACTAATCAGCATCCACTGGTGGAATACAAATTCACTGCACAAAATTAACCTTTAAACCAATCCTGATGCATGGGTTTCTTTGTGTTCTAGAATGCTTGCCGTTGTGAATGCAAAGCAGGTTATGTTGGGAATGGAATCCAGTGTCTGGAGGAAGCTGTCCCACCTGTAGACCGCTGCTTAGAGGAGAATGGAAACTGCCATCGTAATGCCATTTGCACTGACCTACACTTCCATGGTGCGAGTCCTTAATGAGGCAGCTCAAATGTATTCAAATGTCTCTGGGGAGGCCAGAGTAGTTCTGGGAGTATTCCTCAACGCAGAACAAGATTTGTTGGTTGGAGTGAGAGGAAAGGCAGGGGGGCTGTTTCTTGTTTCCATAGAGAAAAATCTGCCACCATCCTCTTTATAATCATCCTTCATGTATGAAGACTGTTATCAAATCCACCTTCAGAATCCTCTTCTCAAGACTAAATAATTCCAGTTCTTCTAAACTTTCCTTGTAAGTCATGCTTCCTAGAGTTCTTATCATTTTTGTTGGTCCTGATGGACTCTTTCCAATTTGACTACTTCTTTCATCAAATGTGATACCCAAATTTGGGCACATTACTCCAGCTGAGGTCTCACCATTGCTAAATCGAATGGAAGAGTCCCTTCCCCTGACACTCCTATTAGTACAACCCCATATGCTATTGCTTCTTTTTTCTTTCTTTTTTTTTTCTTTTTGCAGCAGCAAGAGCATGCTGTTGACTTATACTCAACTTGCAGCTCACTATAACCCCCAGATCCTTTTCTGCTGTACCACAGCTTAGCCTGTCATTCCCCAATTTGTATGTATGTAATTGATTCCTCCATCCCAAATGGAGTAAAATGGAGTACTTTGCACTTGTCCTTTCTGAATTTTATTTGATTAATTTTGGACCATTTTTCCAGGGTAATTTCTTGAATCCTAATCCTATCCTCCAAAGTAGCTGCAACTCCCTCCCAGCTTGATGTCTTCTACAAATATACTAAGCATGTCTCAGTCCTATCCTCCAAGTCCTTAATGAAGATATCAAATAGTACCAGACCCAGGACAAGACTAGTGGAGAACCTCACTTGAAACCTCTTCCAAATTAAATGTCAACCTATTGATGATTACACTTTGAGCATGATGATACAAACAGCCATGTATCTATCTTACAGCAGTTTTATCTAGACTGTTTATTTCCTTTGCTTATTAATGAGAACATCATCAGAGAACGTGTCAAAAGCCTTGCTAAAGTCAAGTTATATAACATCCACAACTGTCCCTCCATCCACAAAGCCTGTCACCTTATTGGAAAAAGAAATCAAGTCGGTTAAGCATGGCTTGCTCTTGATAAATCCAAAAAATCCCTTCATGATTGTGCCAGTGCCAGAGGCAGTGGAGTGTCTTTATGACCCAGGTTCCGCAAAAGAAACAACCCAAAATGCCCCGTTGTCTCTAGCACTGGAATCATCACAGAGGGATGCTAATTCTACCCTATTTCCATAAGCCACTTGAGCTCTAGCTACTTGAAGGACATCTCAGATTTCTTCAAGAAACTAGGCTCTGTTGACAAGCTTCCAGAAAAAGCCATCATGGATGGCACATCTCTGTACACCAACATCCCTCAGGAGGATGGATTATCAGCAATGGAGAACATTATACCTGATGATGGCATTGCTTCTGTTTCCATCACACTTGCCCACTTAGTCCTCACATGCAACTATTTCAGATTTGGAGACTCACTGTACTTACAAACAAACGGCACTTAACCACGGGCATATACATGCCCCCCAGTATGCCAATATATTTATGACAGATCTCGATGTCTGCTTTTTCTACAGCTGTTTTCTGATTCCCCTAATATACCTGTACATGAATGACATCAATAACATCTTCATTATGTGGACACATGAGAAGGAATCACTAGAAAAATTCTATCCTTCCATCAAACTGACCCTTGAGTAATCCACCCAGGAAAGGTGACTCCCCAGAGGAGTTTTCTATCTATTGACTTCTCTGTGAAATCCTATGTAATATGAACTTTCATTTCTACCCAGGAGAACTTTTACAATCTTTTCTCCAACACCTGATGAAGGGTGCTTGTGCCCAAAATCTTGCAATTAAAGATTTTATTTTTTGCAAAAATCTTCTTGGTCTAATAAAAGATATCATCTGTACTATGAGTCCTTAAGATTGCTGCTTCCACTCAGAAAATAAATTTCTTGAACAACACTGTGCCACATCACCAGCACATTGCATCCAAAACCAACCAACTACTACAACTACCTTCATGCCACCAGCTTTCTTCCCTTAGGAAGAAACCACTACATCCATTTTCTGTAGCCAAGTTCTACATTACAACCATAATAATCCCACTGACGGGGATGCATGGCCTAGGGATATGGACCAGGGCTTTCTACACTTACAATGCAATCTGAAAAACATAGCCAACTTACATCAACACAGCCAGACTCAGACCTCACTCCAACCTGCTACAGTACCAACCCCACAATAAGGACAACAGAATCCCCCTGGTCATCACCTGGAGACCTCAGCTTGGACAACTTGGATAAATTATTAATACCCTTCAGGCCCACTTGGAAAATCATGATTATCTTAAGGTAGACTTGTGGGGACCAGCTTGTCCTGGTTTACATACATCGCTCTAACCTTAAATGACATTTTTATAGCAGCAGACTACCTAACTCCAACTCTCATTAAACTACCAGGCCTTGCTGCAGACCCAGATGTCAGCTGTGCCCCCTCATCAACACAGAGCACATAATCTCCGGAAAAAACATGAAATATTATCCAAGGTTCCTTCATCTGCTCTTCTACCAGTGTCATCACCTTCTTACAGCGCCCTTCTGCTTTCTGTGTTGGCCAACAAGGGCAATCCCTATGTAAAAAAATGAATGGCTGTTGATTTGACATCAATTACAGAAAGACACAAAAGTCTCAAGCAGAATATTTTAACCTCTCTGGACATTCTGTTGCTGACGTGAAAGCAGTGCAGCACATAGGCTGCTGTTCTGCTAACAGTTGTTCTTAAATAGGAAAAAAAAAACCAAACTCCAACTTGAATAAGACATTCTAGAATAAAAAATCATCCACGTACTGGATTATATTAATCATCGTCTCAACAGACTATGGGTTCTTACCCGATTACCTGGATTAACTTCTAATGCCAGCTGTTTACTCCTATATTTCTCAATGTGTTGTGCTTGTCTGCAAGCAGGTATTCCCCGCTTGCAGATACGCATCCTGTGCAGCACCAAAGGAATCTCTCTGCAGGGGATTTCCTGGGGCACATTTGCAAGTGTGGAGTGGGAGGTGAGGGGACAGAATATCTCATAATAGGGTCCCCCTTCTGTGTTTGCAGCTTATGCTCTGCACTGCTTTCAGGAATTTATGCTGGCAACCCTTGGAAGAGATTTTTAGGAGAAACCCAGTACTCCAGAAAGTGGGGGTGTTGATTCATCACATGGCACTTTTCCCTCTGAGTCTGTACAAAGGCAGAGAACCCACATGGAGCAAAATGACTTCCATTGTCCACCTGAGATATGGTTGGGTTTCAGTGACTAATGTTTATAATGGCGTATTTGTATATTTACATTCATATTGGTCTATTTGCACTGGTATTTGTATATATCTGATAACGTTTCAGAGATGGGCTAAATATATAAGGTCAGATTCACTGGGAGGTTCTGGCTAATTTGTACTGCTAGTGTGGTGCCTAGAAGCTGGAGATAACTGGTGAAATTAAATAGTACCCTATACGTGTGAGAAATACTCACACATACCTCTGTCTGTATAACTATAAAACCTTGTTAGGAGTCTTCTAAGTGAAAGGCATAATATATTCTTATGTTGGAGCAGTTGCTGTGGAAATATTTCAGATTATCAGGAATAAGCAGAGTTAGACATGTGCAGATTATAAAATATGCCAGCAGTTACCTGGCCCCTTAAAAGTACACACCTAGTTGCTTTGGAAGTCAGATCACAGAGCCCTATTCTAGCCAGGCCTTGAACCTGTGTTCCTGGAGATCATGCTGGCCCCAATGTTTTCCAGATAAAACAGCTGGTGTGTTCCATCTCCAGTCACCTAGAGGAAAATATAAATTCACCTACAGGGATGCTCAGGTTGCCTGTGCAGCAGAAGGTGCTTCCTTGGCAACTCTTCAGGACCTCTCAGCAGCACAGCAGGTATTGATAAAGTTGTTGCTCAGCTCATAAAAATGATTCTGTTCTTATTGTATCAGTGTACCAGGAAGTTTGGTCTGGGGCTGTCACAGCAGCTTGAAAAGCAGGGTAGGCCAGACAAGTGTTTTTTATAACAGGTTGTGAGAACATCTGTTACAGCAAGAGAGCACTCTAATCATCCCCATTCTGCTGGCTAGCTTCTTAGTTAGGGTCATTATACTTAAAGGGGTATCAGACCTTGGGGGTGTCAAGATCCTGAAGCCAGCGACAAGCTGCTGTGTTTGAGACTGTTACAGTTCATAATATCATGCTTTGAGGGGGATCCTGTCAAGACTAAAGAGTGGATAAATGCCATGCATGTGAGCTAGCAGTGTGAAGTTTTCTGTTTTGCTTAAGTCAGGGGTATTACAGCATTGGTAGCAGTGGTGGCAGCATAGCACCTAAAGCCAGTGATGGTGAAGGCAGAAGATCATGTGGCAGCAGTGGAGCATGCCACAGTGGCAGCTCCAGCCCCTGCCACATGCCCTGTGCTGGAACCAGAGCTGTATCTGCCACCATGGTGCAGGGCATGCAGTGGCAGCAGTTCCAGCTTTGGCATGGGGCACAAGTTGAGGACTAGCTATTGCCACATGTTCTGCTGCTGCTGCTTGTTTGTATCCTGTGCTGGATCTGGTCTGCAAGGAATCCTGTAGTCGGGATCTGGCCTGGGACACAAGGTAAGTTTGACACCCGTGGCATAAGTAGAACTACATTCTGTAGGTTAGACAGGGGAGAGCAGTGTGTGGATTCAAATGTAGGAGTTTCTCAAGTCAATCTTTGTCCATATATATGTGTATAAAACCAGGGAAATCCTGTACCTTGGCAAACATGTTTTTCCTTTTGCAGATGAGTTTCCACCTCTGCTTGGTGGGTTGGCTTGATAATGGGACAGCAGGGTATCCAACTGCATACCCAAACCCTAACTGTGGCTCCAATCATGTTGGGATTGTGAACTATGGTTTCCAAAGTGATTTGAATAAAGGTTGGGATGCTTTCTGCTACAGAGCTAAAGGTAAGAGAATACTTACTACTCTCTCCATTGGAATCTGAATTAAGAGATTTAAGGGGTGCGCTTACACAAGTTGGCATCTCAAAGTCACATGTTATATTAAGAATTTATTTTCTTTTGATACATCTCTCTCTCATGAAAAAGTATGCTCTGTATTTGCAATAAGTTAGCATATTTACTTGAATACAAGACCAGGCTTTTCCCCCCAATTGGCAAAGAGAAAAAAAGCCCCTCATCCTATAGTTGCGTATAAAGAAGTCTCAGTAAATACATTATCTATCATTAAACTGCTGCCAAAAGTGGCCTGTGCTCAGCAATAGAAACAAACTATTAAGTTGATTAAATGCAGCCAACGCTGAGCATGACCATAAAACATATGGCCCACATTGGGTAAATATGCTGATGGGAACCTTTTTTTTTAGTGGCTTTTAAAAAGAAATTGGGCAATTGCACCCCCAAGAGGGAACAGGCATCAAGGCTGGAGGTATAGCAATACGAGGCTGGCACTCAGAGAGATGGGAGCAAAACTCCAACACCTCCCCTGGTGCCAAAAATGCTGTTTTGGGGGGTTTGGGTTTTTTTTAATTTATGTCAGGCCAAATTAGCCCTGAATTCTATCAACTGAACAGAGCTCATTCATTCAAGTCTGTATGATGTATCCTACCTCCCAGACTCTTCAGCCTGGGGGTTCAGATACCCTAAATCCATGGCAGGCATCCAATGTGCAAGACCCAAGGCTGGAGTTCAGAAGCTATCTATGCATGCCCATAGCCAAAAGGATGAACAAGCAAGCTAGAGGAAGAGAATGAGAGTAATCCCCCCTTCACCATAAATTGTATAACCAAGATTTTCCCACTGGGAGGCTATAGTAGACTGTTAGGAGTGCCTAACCCACAGTGCAATACAGAGGTTTCCACCCTCAACTACATCAGATCATTCAAGGCCAGGAAGAAGGGAATCCCCTCCCCGCCCCACCTCACCCCTCCTGCCCCTGCCAGATGCAGTAAAACCCCCTGGGCTAACACCATCCTCCTGGTATCTCACTTGCCAGGTAATGGGGACTTTTTGTTTTAATAAATTTTACTTAAAACACACTTATGACCCTACAGTTGCAGAGTTACACATATTAAGCATCCTTGTTTTACTAAGATCATATCACAGAAACAACTAAATATCAAAAACATACACCTACATATATTAAACCCTTAAACAACATGCATCAACTTCCCATAAAAACAAACCTTTACAGAAATATTTTTCTTCATACAGAGCCCTATGAAAAACTATTACCTCCGTAACTACCTGAAACTCCACCCCCCCACATCAGTCCTCTCTGTTGCTTTAGTGAAATAAGAGTGTCCTTCCTTTTTCCTCCACTTCTCCACCTCTTCCTTTCTTACCTTTTTGTCCCGATCAGTGTAGTATTTCAGTTCATTCAGACCCACCTTTAGACACTCTCTTTCAGTGAAAGTCAACTACTTAAATATCCAGAGGTTTCTTGCATTCCTTTAACTAGTTATAACACATGCTAATAAAGTCCTTAATAACATTTCCTCTGGTGCCTTTGATATGAGTCCATATCGTACCATTTCCCACATTAACAGGTTTGTTTTGGTGAAACTCAGAAAGCGATAGACCCTTTCCCACACCCCTTTTGCATATGTACACTCCCAAAACACATCCCATTGTTTCTTCTTCCCTGCAGCTGTCCCTTAGGTACCTCGATGAGCTCGTCAAGCCCCATCTGTGCTGCACTTCTCTCACCAACAAAAATTTCATTATGTTCTTTTAGTTTTTTACATACCGCCAGTCTCCACACCTTCACTTGTCTGTCTATGAAGTTTCCCACCAACACCATCCTGTCTCTCTCCCTTACTGCTTTCATTCATTTCTTATGATCCTTCAGGACCTCCAGCCCTACCTTCCATACTTTATACCTCTTCATGAATCCTTCCATCCTGATGTAATGAACTGGCAGTTGCTGTGCCCATGGATTCTTCAGAGTGGCCCATGTTTCCTCAAAATTACAGCTGCATGAAATAGGTGATATATGTTGCTTCCTCCTCTCCCTCTGTTACTGCTTTGCATACTATGCTTACATATTTTTCATAGACAAACAATCCCAGATCCAGCAGCCCCCATCACCCACATCTCTCTTGCTTTGTACAGTTCAGATCTAGCCAATCTTTCTCTGTTGGCATTCCAGAAAGCAAATATTTCCCTCCATTTTTGCTATTTGCCACGATGTCAGTGAGAATACAATTCCTGTGTATAGAATAATCTGCAGTAGCACAGCCTTAAGCACTGCCACATTTCTGGCAAAGGTCAGTGTCCTTCCAGACCATAAGCAAAGTATTCACCATATCCTTGCCATCACCTTTTTCCATGCTGTATTACCTTTTCCTTTGGTGTCCATTGGGATCCGTAGCACTCTGAAGGTATGTCTACATGAGATGCTTTACTCAAGATTAGAGCAAATTACTGTGTAGTAAGCATCACTGTCTACACATGCAGATGCTTACTGCACATGAATTTGCTTTAATTGTAAGTAAATTTGCTACCTATAAATACAAGTATCAAATTTACTCATGATTACTTTCTGTGCCATATGGGGACAATGTCCCCATGCTCTGGCAGCAAGGAGTTCCCAGCCCTAGCTCCCCAGTTGCTGGGAACAGGCTAACAGTTGGAAGTCGCTTATCTCATCCCCATATGGATTTTGAAAACCCTAGATACTCATTAATTTGGACTTCATTGAACCCCCAAATCCGTTTTTCCGTGATTAAAATGAAACACCACTATAGATATATGTATATATGTATGTATCAATTTAACACAATATTTTATTGATATATTTACAATTTTAAAGCAATTTGAAGCCTACCAGTGCCTCAATCATTAGAATAAAATGCATTCTAAATACCTGTATATATTGGCATTTGATCTTGGTTTTTTATATTATCATAGAAAATCAGAGCTCCCCCTGCCACCTTCGCTTACTAGGACACGTGTCTGGCTGTAGCTGTCCCACCGCTGCTTTGTAGTGCTAAGTAATTCTGATGCCCTGCCCCTGCCCATGCCATTTCCCCTCACTCACAAGCCTCCCCAGCCCTGCCAGTGCCCCTCACTCCCAACCCATAGCCCTCTGGCCCTGGTGGTGCTTCTCACTCCTGACACACAGCCCTCCTGCCCACTTTGTGCCCCTCACTCCCAACCTGTAGACCCCAGTCCCCCCTGTTGCCCCTCACTCCTGACCCACAACCCCCTACCCCTGCCAGTGCCCCTTACTCCTAATATGAAGCCCTCTGCCCCCCTCAGCCCTGCAACCCCACAGTCCCTCAGCCCCTGGCCCTACCGGTGACCCTCACTCCTGACCCATAGCCCCCTGGCCCTGCTGATGTCCCTCGCTCTCAACTTGCAGTCCCTCACCCTCCCTGGTGCCCCTCACTCCCTAGCCACAGCCCCCCAAACCCTGCTGGTGCTTCTCACTCCTGACCTGCAGCCCTCTGCCCTCCGCCACTCAGACCTGCCAGAGAGACCTGCCCCAGCTGTCCCTGCCTTGCCCAGCCCCATGCAGACTACAGAATGGTGGTTTGCAGGGACAGGGATGGGGGTGGCCTGCACCATGGGGTGCATGCAGCATGCCTTGTGCAGAACCATAGGCAGTGTCTGGGTCACCACTCTCTGCCCCGCACTGGGGCTGGAGCTGGGGCATGGTGGGCAGGACCAGTGCTGAACTCCACAGCAGCAGTGTAAAACAGAGGGCAGCTCTGGCCCAGGTCATGCTGCAGTCAGCAGGAGAAGGGTGAGGGGCTCCAGGCCCTGTCCCACCCAGGCTTAGACAGCTCCAAATTGTGTGGGTGTCAGCAGAGTGAGTTTGGCCCTGGCATGTGCTGGAGGGAGGAAAAAGGGACCACAGCTGGACTGGGGCTGCCATGCTGCACCAGGTAGCCTGGCCACAGTGCCCCTTCTCCAGGCAGCATCTCCCAGCCACCCTTCTCCTGAGATTATGGGGCATGAGCCCCCAGCACCACCAACCCAACTGCACAGCTCCCTGCCACCCCCAGAGGGCCCCCCTGCCCCCCCGCTGGAGGGGCAGGTGCCTCCAGGCAGGCCCTGCTGGCAACAGTGTGGAGCTGGGCTTGGCAACAGCACTCAGTGCTCTCTTAGACCCGCCCTGGCCCACCACAGCCCTGGCACCCAGACACCTTCCCCCAGCACCAGCAGGCACCTGCCCCACATCACACAACCATTCCGTCCACACACTGCTGCCACCCTCCCCCCCCCCCACACACACACACGTCCCACACCCCCTCCCCCACAGTCTCTTGGATGGTCTCCAGCCCTGGCCCTCCACTCCCCTCCCCGCATAGACTTGCATGCATTCAGCTTGTAGAGCTGCTCCCTGCACCCTTTCTGGCTGTATGCTTGCCATGTGTGCATGTGCATGTGCACACACACATGGCACTCCCTGCCTCCAGTCACCCTTGCCTTGCTCCCCCCAGCCCCAAGTAGTTCTTTGCATGTTAGAAGGCTATCAGCCTGCATGGGGGAACTTGCTGTTTCCCGTGGTTTTCTCCTTTAGACAGAAAAATACATGTTTTTCTCTTTCATAGATTTAATAGAGTTTAGGGTTGGAAGGGACCTATTATATCATTGAGTCTGACCCCCTGCCCTGGGCAGGAAAGACTGCTGTGTTCAGATGATCCCAGCCAGGTGTTTGTCCAATCTCCTCTTAAATACCTCCAAGGAAGGGGACAGCACCACCTCCCTTGGAAGCATAGTCCATATTTTGGCAACCCTCACAGTAAAGAATTTTTTCCTGATATCCAATCTAAATTTGTTCTCCTTCAGTTTGTGGCCATTGTTTCTAGTTATCCCAATGGGCGCCCTGGTAAACATTGTTTCCCCTATTTCCTGCTGCTCCCCCCCTCCAAATGAGTTTGTAGACGGCCACAAAATCACTTCTCAGCCTTCTCTTGTGGAGGCCGAAGAGATTCAGG